CAATGCGGGGAGAGGCTCCAAAGTATAGTATTATAAAACTTCATATAAAAACCTCCCCCATCAGTTATACTTCTGACTTTCTCCTTTCTTATTTATGGGGATTTACATGCATAGGACACTAGTATTTGTGGTAGGAAAGATTTTTAAAACATTTTCAGCACTCCCAACTCTGACTGACTTCCAGCATTCCTGCACTGAACAAGATTGTTCTCATCTGCCCCCCCCTTTCAGCCTAGACATCAATGAGGCACTTGACATTGTCAAAATGTACCTAGAAAACCCAAAAGGAGATAGAATTTCTGATTAGTGTTCTTGAGCCCTTTTCCAAAGGTGCAGACTGCAGTTATGTTAATGCATGGAATACTGATACATATGCAATATGGAAGATATTGTCTTATTCAAGGTTCACTGTTTAGTGTTTCCTCCTTCCTGGTTGCGGCCTGTGTCAGTAAAAACCCCACACAGCCTTTATATACACTGGCTGACTAAATAACTAAGTGCATGAACTTGTTTGTGGCTGCGGCAACATGTCGGTACTTCTCTTTCACAACAAACAAGGATTTACTTATAAATCGTCAAAGGGTAAATTTTGGGGAATTATACTCTCTACATGACTAAAGCGGTTATGTGCCAATCAGCTGGTTGATGTCATTACTTACATTTTTAACATATTACTGTCACAGAAGAGAGTTCTCACCTGTCTCAAAGACACCGGAATCAACATCACATTTCAAAAAAACATGTTGTTTTTCCAAGGTAGTCCCGGAAATCTACTAAATGCCCATGGGTGTTAAAATAGTTTAATCTCTAACACACTAATAAAAGCACAATTTAAATTGTAACATCATGGATGAGGTCCAGTCAGCAATTCCCAGTTAAGGAAGAGAGGCTATGCTGCCTGACCAGCTCAACTCAACTCAACAAGTAGACTCTACAACACACAATTCAATTTAGTCAATGCAACCTTTTTAACGTCAGCACTGTTTACTCATGCTTGTATCACTGGTATCGCTACAATAATTTTTAGCATGTCATTCAGGGGTGGGACAGGTCTGCTAATAATACATAATGTACAAACAACCAATACATTTTCCACCAACTCAGACATGCCAAAGGCAAAAAACAACTGACAGTTTCTGTGTACTTTTGTAATACTAGCTGTTGTGTAGAGAACACATGCTAATGCTAGATCAAGATTAATAAAGGGCAGGGGATATACTTTATAGGTTTAAAAAACACATTTATTTTACATAATGTACTATGTACACATTAGTAGAAGGAACAAAATAATACAAGGACCAAATGGATAAGAACAAGTGGAAAAAATACTTCATGCTATAAAACAGCTCATTACCTAAAATATCAGGTCCTATCTTTACAAGGATAAAACTAACATTCTTTTCCAGCAAAAGGGTGAGATCTGACAACACCAAAGCACACACATACATTTTACTTTTTTTCTTGCTGCTGTGTAAACAGTTACAAATTCTGAAAATCTGAATTTAACAACGGCAAACTGGTGAAGCTAAAGTTGGCACCTAAAGCTAAATGCCTTCATCGTAGACTAGCTGGACGAGCACCTTGTCTTGAAGTGCTTCGTTCTGTCTGTAGACATACATTGGCGTGCTGTTAGCAGATGGGCTGGTCTCGCCACCCCGCTGTTCTTCTCTTCTCTCCTCCTCAGAGATCAGGTCATTGTAGGAGGCCACGCAGAGATCATGGTCCTGGAGGGACGCAGGGTATCGGAGTGAGGCTCTCTCGATTCGCACGGAGCGTCTAACGGGGGTGAAGAAGCGAACCTCCTGGCCGTTGACGCGTGCCGGTTCTTTGTGTTGGTTTGGAGGGCCACTGAAGAAATACAAAGAAAAGAAATGAGCCCTAATTTTCAACTTTATTCAGCCTCCAAGAAATAATTAAGACAAGCAGTATATGAGGTAGATAAAAACATTTGGGGTTAGACAGAAGATGAAAAGACAACAACCAGACATCTCCCTAAAACGTCATTACGCTGATATGCGCCCACCAGCTGACACATGCTTTTGATGTCAAATGTGTTTTATTCCACTCAACAAAGCAGAAACAAACTTGCTAAAATTGCAGACATAGTTTCTGAAAGCTGCCCTAAACATGACTCAAACATACCCAGGAGTTGCTGTAATCTTGTACTTTACAACAGATGAGTCTCCTCTCTCCCCAAGAATAAGGGCTCTGGCAGGGTTAGGAGTCATCATTGGGTTGTTGTTACTCACAGGAGTTGAACTCTGGTCATCCTTTGCATCATTTTCTTCAGATGCTGACAAAAACATGAAAATCTGAGTTAAAGTTAATTATAAACCTTATCATTGTAAGAATTAACTAAGACTAATAATAACTGATAATAACTACACACAGACCTCTAAAAGTGAACGCAAACATAAAGCTGCACACCGTAGTACTAAAACAATGAGTAATAATTCTCTGTGAGATATGATATTTTTTGTTAAAACTGTTTTAGAGGACTGCTGAATCACCTTCTGGGCATTGCCACTAATTGCCCTTGGGTTGCCGCTAAGTATAACCCTTGTGTGTGGTTGTAACTACACGACAAAGGCTGAGGTACTACAGGTATGAAATATATGACTACTAATCTTATTATAACATAGGTAGTCGCATGGCTACAACAATGTCCTACATGTTCTATGAATTATTTGTTGTCAGATAAGACAATGTGTCTTTGCAGACCATAGTGACACATTTATTGAAAAATACAAACAAAAGAAAGAATGTAGCATAATTGCATACTGTATATCAAGTTACAGCTAACAGGTCTGCATGGGGGCTACAACTTTCAAGAAATTCAAGACAAATGTAGCAGATTTTATAAAAAATAAAAAATGACTTTACGGTATGCAACAGAATGTCTGTCTGGGGTTCCTGGGGACATTTTTCTA